GAGTCTGTTGAGCATTTTTATAACCAATGTTTTGAACACTTTATCTGGTAGCTAGCTTATCTCCATTTGATTTAGTTATTTTTCTGGGGTTTTTTTCTGTCTTTCATTTGAAACATTTTTCTCTTTCTCCTCACTTTGGTTATATCTCTATATTTCCTCCTTTAATTTAGGAAAAACAGCAACTTCTGGTAACTAAGAAATGACCTTGTGTAGAGCTTCTCCTTTGTAAACTGCATGTACCAGGTGTCTTTGGTAGGCCAGTTGGAGCTGGAGCTGGAGCTGGATAAAATGTGGGCTATAGGAATTCCCAGGGTCAAGCCTTACCACAGCTGCCTTGGCAGGCTGACTGGGTGTTTAGTTGGGTCTGACTTAGGTGCAGGGAGTCCTGATAGGCAAGTAGAGCCAGGACAGATTTTGCATGTTAGTTTCAGCTGTAGTTGGAGCAGGCTGAAGCTTGAGTCAGTCCAGGGCACAAAAGCTGGAGCTATAGTTGAAGGGAGCATTCACCATGGGGAATCCAGGGGCAAGCCATAGAACTGGTGTTGGTGTGGGGTCTGGGGCACACAGAGATGGCCTTAGCCAGCTGCCTAGAACTTCTGGATTGTGTTTGTGCCCATTTGACCAAGGTGGAATGGCAGCAAAAAATGGTACTCTTCAGTATCTCTAACTTCAGAGAGAGTTTCCACAGTTCCCTTCCTGTTTGGTAAATGTTCTCATGTTAGTAAATGGATTTCCTCCTAGAATCCCTTTAAGATACTGTATATTTGCTGTGCCCCAGGTTGGGTGAGTCTGCATATAGGCCCTTTAGTGATCCCTCCCTACTGCCAGTCAATGCACTGGGGTTGGGGTTCCCATGATACCCTCTGTCTCTCCTACTTGTTTCCATGTTGTCTCTGTCTCTTATTTCCAGCGAAGGTGTTCAGCCAGTCTACAGTTCTTCTTCAGTAGAGATTTTTCTGCCCACAAGTGTGGATTCAATGTGTTCATGGGGAGGGAGTGAGTTCAGGGTCTTTCTACACTACCATCTTGGACGAGATCTGCTACTTTTCCATTTATACCAAAGTGTCTGTGATGCTTACTGGAGCATCTTTGTAATGGCTGTTTTAAAGTTCTTGGAAGTTAAATCCAACATCTGTGCCATTTTGGTATTTGCATTTATTGATTGCCTTTTCTCATTCAAGTTCTGGTTTTTCATATACTAAGTAATTTTGAATGGTGTCCTGGACATTTTGAATATTACATTATAAACCTCTGAGTCTTACTTAAATTCTACAGAAAATTTCTGTTGCTATTGTTTTTAGAAAGCAGTTGACCTGATTAGGTACAGGCTACAAGTTCCAAAAAACCTTCTTTGTGCTTTGGTTCTTGTGTTAGTTCAGTTTTCAAAGCCTTTGTAGTGCTATTCAAACCTGTCCCACATGTGCCCCACTTAATGGTCAAGCCACAATGTGGGCTGTAGTCTGTTTGTTAACTGAGTTCTCAACATCTTTGGTGTATGGATAAGGATCAGATCAGTGTATGCACAGTTCAATAGTGAGTGCAAAACTTCACAAATAACTTCAAAGATTGTTTTCCAGAGCTTTTCCCTCTCTGCTATCTCTTTTCAGTTCCCTGAAGCTTCTCTTCAGTTACCTCACTCCAAAGCATACTTTCAGGGCAGAGGCCAAGTGGGAGGACAGAGAACAAGTATTCACCCCTCTCTTTGGGAACACAGCTCTGTGATAAAGAGGAAAGGGCCCCTTCTTTTGAGTTTCGACTCCTACTCATCTGCAGCTGCCACTATAGGAATGCTTGGGAATTGGGGTACCAGAAAATGGAAAGTAGAAAAAATGAAGGATTTCCACACTTTCTCTGACAATAGAGCTCACTTTCATGTGCCTTAAGCCCAGAATGTAAGGCAGTTCCTTGAGTTCAACTATGTCCCTGGTGCCCACTTCCAGGTTTCAGGTTCTACTGTATCCATGTCCACATTAGAAGGAAAAACTGGTAAACATTAGAGGTACTTCAAATTTTGGTGTTTTTCCCCAATTCTGTTTCTACTTACTTTTCAGAGTCCTCTTAAAGATGCTCTGTATATTCTCTCCAGGTTTTACTAATATGTTCCATGGAAAAGGCAGCAAGTGTGCTTACTCTATCTCACCCATAACCAGAATTTCCACATCTAATTTTTATAAGGGCCACTTTTAAGAGCACACTGTGAGCCATAGCTGTACTGAGTTTTTCAGTATCTACCCTATTACAAAACCCCAAAATTATATATGATTATAGTTATGTATTATACTATAATCTTCATTTCATCATGAGGACACAGATACTTAGCAAAGATTAAGTAACCAGTCGGAAGTCATCTGACTAGTTTTGAGGCAAAGAAAATGCCTTGGAATTGTTATAATGTCCACAGACCACCTACTCCCAAATCAACTACAATGTTTATTAAAATATAAGTTTACTGTGCCCTATCTCAGACAAACTAAGTCGAAATCTTTGGAAATGGAGCTCAAGATTTTCTGTCCATGCTGGAGTTGAGAACCAATGAATATTTCCTTCAATAAAAAAACCTTCAGTCTAAATGACTTTTAAAAGGATGTCAATATACTTCAAATAGAAATACCCATTAGTGTTGGTGTATCAATCAGCTTAAAATAGCTTACATATGCTCACCTACCCTATTCTTCTGTATCATGTTAAGAACCATAAAATAAGATTTGCTATAAACCCAAGTTCATTTTATATGCAGGAAGATGTTCCCAGCCCCAAGCATTGAACTCAATGTTCTTGCCCTCACTCTAATCCCTAACAATAATAGCTCCCTAGTAGGAACCTCCCAAGAAGTATTAGTTAACCAGTATATCAAATTCTATTTGGGGAAGATATTAGGCCTAAGTGAATTCTACTCATTCATGGCAGACAGCATTGGTACATTTCTCCCCAGGAGATAAAGTCACCTTATTTTTCATGGTGGATCTTACTTAGCAAAAGAACAATTTTGATGGGCTCAATGTCAAAACTGGGACCTCACCTTCTATAAAGCCAATTTGAATGACAAGCCTCTCACTATCAGACAAATATGAATAAAAAATATTAAAAAGAAACTCACTACATATGTCGGGGGGAAGAATCTTGCATCAAAATAAGGATGCAGGTCATTTTTCTTAGGTGAAAAGGTTTTTACGACAAAGTTACATGTAAGGGTATAATTATGAAGTTTGAAAAAGCCATTCAGATTGCATGATTGCTCAAAATCCCTCATAAATAATGTAAATAACATTAAAATCCTAAACATATAAAATTTTCTTTTGACGATCTCAGATTTTATAGATACTGCTTTAATGGTTCATAATAGGAATTAATCATTCCTCACTCACACATGGGGAAAACAGATCAAGTATGCCAATCTCCAAAGCCTTCTGATAGTCTCTTTAAACAATGGATTGTAACACACTACAGCAATAACATATATTTCTAGTACTAAAACTTATGGCAAATATTCTGCTTTGAAATAAAAATATTTTTCAAAAATGTCCTTATGGATACTTATGAGGGAGTTCATAAGTTTCAAATTAATCATCAGTAATGAATCAAAAATAAAAAGAATTCAGTACATTTTCAACAATGAAGAATATGTCAACCAGTAATTTCTCTTCCCTCATCCCCCACTTTTCTGGAGAGAGAAAACTCTAAAACATATGGCCCAGGAAGAAAACCTGTACTCAGTTATAGCAGTGAACTGGCTTTTACATCTCTGGAGCTAGAGTATACAAATGACTTCATAGGCAACAGCTTCCGTATGTTTCATATTTTTAACCTTGACCGTTCACAATAAAAGATTCTTTGATCTTAGGTCAAATGTTTGAATCAGTTTTCTCTACATTTACTCAGAGTCACCATTATAACAGCTCCCTTCTTTACCACCTCAAATGTTCCAGCCTTTCCTGCAATTGAACTATCTCCATTTATCACCTTCTCTGTGGTACTTCCCATCCTTTTGCTGTGGTTTTCAGCTCTGCTCATTAGCCTCTCACACAAAAAAGGCATAGCAATAAATAAGTTTTGTACATAATTAGTTAACTGCAATAAATAAGGTTCTTATAAGGAACTCATAGGCATCTTTAACAAAACTGAAAGCTCATGGTAGTATGGTTAATACAAAAAAATGAACCTCTCCCAATCAGAAAACATCCTCAGTAGGTGAGGACTTTGCTTACAACGAGAAGATTTTTTAGAAATCTGGATAATATTTCTAGCATTAGGCCTTAAATAAAACAAAAGACCAATACAACTTAGACAAATACAAAAACATCAAAAATTTTAAATGCCTAAGCAATGCTAGAAAAACTTAGAGTATCTTCAACATAAAATTATTTTAAGTGATTCTAAGGCCTTGCTGAGGAGCAACATTTTTAAAATATAATCTTACTTGCTGGAATCTTAAAATATAAATTTTGAAGAAATGTACTCAATCAACAAAGTTAACTTTTAAACAATTTGTTAAATGTCTAGTGATAAATACAATGAAGTTGACAGTAGATTATACTTGGGCCTAATTAGATCTCATGCTGCAGAAAGAAAGAAGGGAAAGAAGGAAGAAAGGAGGGAGGAAGGAGGGAGGAGAGAGGAAGGGGTAGAGGGAGGGAGGGAGGGAGGAAGGGAGGGAAAGAAAAAAATTGATGTTAAAAATCCCCTTAATTTAATTTCATTTGTTTCCTTTCTGTTAGTACTGGTACACAGGTCAAATTTTAGAATAATTTAAGTTACTATAATTTTTCATTTCCAAATACAGCCATATACCTAAAAAAAAATAGTGATACAATCAGAGTGCTGATTCTGACCTTGTACTTGGAATTTGTAAATATGAAAATGGCATACACTTGTCTAACACAGAGGGTCTTGAGTTCGTTATATACTTAGCAGCATTGTTCTTGGCAAAATTTAACCTTCCTGGTTTTTCTCTAATGAATTGTTGGATATATCATCCATTCATCCCAATGATTATAAATTACCTTGCACATGGTAGCAAACTGTTGGTTATTTCCTGCTCCAACTACAAGATATCCATCTTTGGTTTTAAAAGCCTAAAATAAAAAATACATACAGAAGTATATAATTTTATATATTGAGAATACCACAAAAGTCAGTTTTAATCACCAAAACTTGTATAAAGACAGCTTGTTCAAAATGTCACTATCAACCAATTAGTAAATTTTTCACTTATATTTGCATAGTTGCTTTCATTTGAGATTTTCAGGCTCTTCCACTGCTATTACATTGGGGACAGGGAGCAAAAAATTATAAAAATAAGAAAATACTGGAATTTTATTACAACTCATAATATGAAATTTCATATTCATTACAATTGGATTTATTTTGTATTTTCACAAAGTTTTGTGTTTTGTTTCCATTTATTCTTGTAGGGAAAATCAAGAGGGTACATTGTTTTCTACAAACTATAATAATAGAGGGGAAGAAAAGGAAAGCAGGAAGAAAGGGAAAGAGGGAGGAAAGTGGATGGATGAGTGAACTTGTGAAGTTATATTTTATCTGTATAATCCTCAGGTGTGAACTTTTGGGCACTTTTCACTCTTTAGTAAGTAAAAATGGACATATCTGGATCCTGGACTTCTTGTGACTTATGTACCTGAAAATGTCTGTCCCTTTTTAAAGACATATTCATTTGGACAGCAACACTTATAAGTAATTAACATTCCTATGTCCCATAGTCTCAACACCTCTGGAGAACTTCTCAGGACTCCCTTGTACAGTTTGGAGGGGCCAAACTTTACCTTAAGAAAGACTTGTTCTCACTTACCTTAAATAAGTAAGTTCCTTTAGTTTCCTTCTTTTCTATGTAGAAATTGCTCTGTATCTTTGTCTACTTTTTCTTCACTTCTGCCTCTGGGAAACATGACCTCTATCTTTCTTATCAGGGCTTTCGCCTATATGCTAATGACCTTGCTATTACCTTAACATCTTCCAGAACCCTGCTCAAACATCTTGAATCTCTTTGCTTCCACTAGATCCTTGTCTTTTGCCTACTTGCAGGCTCATGCCTACACTAAAAACATTAACAACAACAAAACAAAAATCCCATCAATCCTGACACTCCTGTCAGGCGATCTTGAAATATTCTCCCTTACCTCCATTTCTAAATGATACAAAATTACTTGCTTATACTTCTTTACCAACTACCCTAACCCCTCTTTATTATTTAGTACTGTTTATTCTCCTATCCTTCAGAAACCTGTCATCTCTAGGCTCTGAGTTCATTTCCAATCTCTCTGACCTGTTATGCGGGACTATCTTCTCCTCAGCCTTCAGCATTTCTTAAGTATCTAGTAATTGGTCTTTTAGTTCCCTTGCTTCTTATGGTAGCCACTAACCACATGTGACTATTGAATTTAAATGAACTAAAATTAGTTGCAAAAGTTACATATTGTGATTTCATTTACATGAGAAGTCCAAAATAGTCATATCTGTGGAGACAGAAAGATTAGTGGCTGCCTGGGGTTAAGGAAGTTGTGGAAATGTGGAGAAATACTGATAACTAATAGTGGGTTTCTTATCAAAGTGATGAAAGTAGTAAAATTGATTTGGTAATGGCAGCACAGTTATGTGAACATATTAAAAACCATTGAATTCTATAACTTAGATGGGTGAAATGTACGGTATGTAAATTATTTCTCAATAAAACTGTTAATAAAAAATTAACAGTTAATTCCACAGACACAGTAGCTACATGTCAAGCATTCAATAGCCACATCTGGCCAGTGGCCACCATATTAGGTAATACAGATGGAAAACATTTCCATCATCACTGAAAGTTGTGCAGTACTGGTAAACTGGAGCTGGTAGATTGTATTTTTTCTTTTATTCTTCCTACTAGGACTAACATGATATCTAAAAAATGGTAGGCAGTTAAAAATGGTTATAAATTGTTAATGAATCAATCAAATGGGTGCTTCCACGTAATAGAAATTTGGTTAAAATGAATCTCAAGAAAAAACACTATAATAGAGGTTGTTTTTAAATTCTAATTACATTTTTGTTTGACTTGGTAATGAATTCTACTAAAAAGATACCACATGCACTATTTCAAACATTTAAACATTTATTTTCCCTTGTCCACAGAACAAAAGCAAAGTTAATGTTATACATAAGGCATTAGTGGTTATAGAACTACTGAAAGGGATTCTGAAATAGAGCTGTGAGTGAGACACAAAGGATTTTGAGCAGAGATGTCTCAAGAAACCATTGATAACTATGAAAGTACACAGGTTGTTTGCTCTCTCTCTTTTTGCAAGGGAAGAACGCATTGGGGAGTGGATAAGCGATATCAAGCAACAATGTGTATTGCCAGGTGTAAGAAAATTTTGAGACAATCTCAAAAAAGAAGAACAATTTGGAGTACTCATACTTCCAGTTTTCAAAACTTACTACAAAAGTACAGTGATCAAAATAGTGGGGTATTGCCATAAGGATGGGCATATAATTCAATGGAATAGGATTGAGAGTTCATAAATAGACTCAGATCTCTGTTGTTAATGCATTTTCAACAAGAATGCTAAGATAATTCAATTGGGGAATAATAGTATTTTAAATAAATAGTGTGTAAATAAAAAGGAATAAAGAAAAACTTTCAAAATTTTGGATTAGTGACATGTTCAACAAGTTTACATTTGGGGGGTTATTTCCTTTTAATTAATAAAGAAATACCTGTTTCTTCCTTGAGCTTGAAGCATACCATAAAATACATCTTTACCAAAATATTATTTTTCAAAACATAAGCAGAGATAACCAGTTAATGATTACAGGAAAGTGAAGACTGAAGAGCAGCCGAGCTACCAGAATATAATTAGACTAAAGATCACCCACTAGATTTATAGAAATGATAGTTTGCTTATGAGTACTTTAAATATTTATTTGTTCCCAGTTTTGTTGCTGCAGTATTTATTTAATAAGTGTATTTTCAAATAACAATTCTCTAAAAAGCCTACATTTGTGCTTTAGACTGAAATGTTTCTGTCTCTCAAACTTCTTATGTTGAAATCCTATCCCCAATGTGATGGTGTTAGGAGCAAGAACACAGCCATCTATTAATGAGGAAGGAGGTACTCACCAGACACCAAATCTGCTAGTGCCTTGATCTTGAACTTCCTAACCTTGACAATTGTAAGAAGTAAATGTTAATTGTTTAAGCTACCCAGTCTATGGTATTCTGTTATAGCAACCTGAATGGACAAAGAAATTGGTACTGAGAAGAGGGATGCTGCTGTAAAAAATACTGAAAAATGTGGAAGTATCTTTAGAACTGGCTAATGTGTCGAGAAATGGAAGAGTTTTAAGGTACATGATAGAAAAGAATAGGAACAAACCATTAAGGCGAATTCTGCTGAGAGCTCAGAAAGAAAAGAGAAGTGCTGTAAAGGGAGCCTTAGTCTTCTTAAAGAACACCTAAGTCATCCTGAACAGAATGTTGGTAGAAATATAAATGATAAAGATCATTTTGATGAGTCTCAGATGGAAATGAGGAATATGCAATTGAAAACTGAAGGAAAAGTTGTCCTTTTTATAAAGTGGCAAAAAAACTTGGCTGAACTGTGCTCATGTTCTAGTATTCTGTGGAAGGTAGAACTTGCAAGTGATGAAACTGGATATTTAGCTGAAGGCTTTCTAAACAATGTATTAAAGGTAAAATTGGCTCTTCCTGACCACTTAGAGTACAATGTGAAAAAATAAAAATAACTCAAAGATAAAATTATTGAGCAGAAAGAAAACAGAAACCAAAGATTTGGAAAATATCCATCCTATCTATGTTGTAAAAAATGAGAATGTGTGCTAAGAAGAAAACATTAAGGGTATGGCCAAGTGATCATTTAGTAAGAGGATACTCTTTAGCAGGTGAATGAATAAACTGTGATACATCCAGACAATGGAATATTATCCAGCACTAAAAAACGAACTACCAAGCCATAAAAAGACATGGAGGAACCTTAAATGAATACTACTAAGTGAAATAAACCAATCTGAAAAAGCTATCTGTTGTATGATCCCAACCATCTGACACTCTGGAAAAGTAGAGCACAGAGGATTTTTAGGGCACTGAAAATATTCAGTGTTATGCCATAATGATGGATACATGCCATTAAATATTTGTCCAAACTGATGCAATGCACACCAACAGTGAACCCTAAGGTAAACTATGGACTCTGGATGATTATTATGTGTCAATGTAGGTTCATCAACTGTAACAAATATACCACTCCAGGCGGAGGGGGGTACATTTGAGATGTTGATAACAGGGGAGACTTTACATGTGTAAAGGTAGGGGTTAAATAGGAAATACCTGAATCTTTTGTTCAATTTTTCTGTGAAGCTAAAACTTCTCTAAGAATCATTTTTAAAAAAGAAAAAGAAAAAGCATCTTTATGGCAATGCTAATTTTCTGTATCCTGACTATATCAATGTCAATAATATCCAAATTGTGATATTATACTCTAGTTTTAGAAGATGTGTCCATTGGAGTAAAGTGGATAAAAGGTACGCACACTCTGTCTCTATTACACCTTAAAATACATGTGAACTTAAATTAACTCAATTTTTTAAGTTTAATTTTTTAAAAAGATGTTGGTACATAATATTAGGCCCTGAACAACAGAAATGGAAGAAAATAGAGTAAAGAAATATTTAGGCATTAAAACACACTGAGGTTGGTAATGACTGGAATATGATGGTAGAGAGTTGAAGGCTAAAGGGGAAGAAGGTGTCATAGACACAGTATTTTGGTTTCTGAGGAATTTTTGAGATATTCCAGAGGAAATTTCAAATGAGTAGGAGTTGGGGACCAGATGAAAGTCAGAAGTGTAGATAAAACCTGGGAGTCATTTGCATGTAACATATTACTAAAACCATCATATAGATGAGGTCATTTAGAAAGGGAGTTTATGCTGCAGATCAGGAAGACAAGGGGGCCAAGGAGGGGTCTGAAGGTCATCCCATTTGAAGTCCAGGCAGAAGAGTTTGTCAGAGAGTACCATGGGAAATAAAGAATACTCACAACACATGTTGCCCTCATGTC